GACCAAACATCAGCTTTGCTGGAATGTATCCAGTGGCTTCATGCTCTGCTGTTCTATAGGTCATTAACAGTGGAGGGAATAAGACATCTCAGTCATCTTGGCAGCTATTACAAAACTTTGCCAATTCCTGTCACAGTGTTTAATTGTACTTTTCTACCATCCCATCAGACTGTGGGTGAAGTGGTGTTGTAGCTTCCTGATTTGGTATTGCATATGCCTCAGGCCACTTGGTGAAATAATCCATCACCACACAAATGTACTTGTTTCCAGCACATGTCTGGGGCAAAGGACCAGCAATGTCAATGGCTTCTCTTTCCATTGGTGCACCAACTTGATATAACTTCATTGGAGCACGTCCCTTATGCTTGGGTCCTCTTTTAGCACATGTATTGCAGGTCCTGCACAATTCTTCCACATCTTGCCTCATACCGATCCACTAAAATCTCTGCTGTAGGTGACTTAATGTCTTCTTAACTCCAAGATGTCCTCGTGATAAACTATCACGGGATTGATGCAGCACAACTTCCCGTAACTTTCTCGGTATAACTATTTGCCAGGTCATCACTTTCCCATCTCCGGAGAAGAATACCATCTTCAAGCTTCAACTGGTCTCATTGTGCCCAATGTGCTTTGTCACAGGGCTTAAGATAGACACCTTTTCCCAAGCAAGGTGTAAAACACTTGCTTTAGAAAATCAATTATTGGCTTCAAATCTTGGTCTTTATCCTTTTCTGCTTTAATATCTATACTTGGTTCCACTTCACCATCATCAACTCCTTCAGTCACTTTGACTTTAGCTTAATGGCACCTGGTTAGTTCAACCTCTCTTTTGCAGCAATGTCTGCAGTCATTTTTGCAAGGTTTTTGGCTCAGTCCATCGGCATTACCATGGGAGTTTCCTTCTCTATATTAAATTTTATAATTATACTGGTCTATTTTTCCGATCCAGCGTGCTAGTTGTCCCTCTGGGTTCTTTAATGATCTTAACCAGCGTAATGCAGCAT